TTAAGAGTTTTTAAGAGTTTTAGCCAAATGCTTTATAATATAGTATAGATATATATATATATATACTAGTAGTATACCCGTACAATGCATCGGATAAGCAAAATAAAAATGAGACAAGAATCATCAGGAGACTATAAAATAATGATAAGCTAGTTCTTCTATTTGAATTTTGAAATTCAAACAAAAAGTAAAAGAGGAAGGTAAATGGTATTGGGGGCAGAGCATCGATAGAGTTAGACCAAAAAGGTGAAAGCAACCAGAATTTTAGTCTCCTACGAAGACAAAAAGGGTCAAAAGCTTTTAAAGAATTCAAAACATGCATACAATACTTGTATATTGTGTTTCAGTGGGTATTTATGTGTAAAAAAAATGGATGTTGAAGAAATGAAAAGAAGGCTTTATAGGGAGGACAGATAATAAAGCTTATATCAAATGGGAGCTTCTGAGACTATTGTAGAAGAAAAGGGAGTCTAGGACTCCATTTTTGGTTGTGGTGAAAAATCAGTGTATTAATAAGTTGTACATCATGCATACAGCCTTGTAATTAAGAGATTTTTTATTGTGTGCTTTAAAAGCTTGTATTTAAGACTTTGGTTTAAACATTAAGTATTATTGGAACCATTACTATTGATGTGTGCATAGAAGACGGGAACGAGAACGAGAACGACTGTTGACCTACATCATATCTACTTTTACTTGATAAATATTCATAACGTAATATTCGAATGGTAACATGTTATTTTCTATGCAATATTATGACTTAGAGAACAAGTGTAAAATGAAAACAACGTAATCTAGGAATTGTTTTCGGGAACGACGAGCAATTGTTTTTTATTCAACCTGACTAAACCAACTCAACCCACACGATTTGGGTTGGATTGACATTAATTAAATCACAAACATTAAGTTTGAGTGTTTAAATGAATTTAACAACTAATAATGCTCCATCAAACATAACAACTAATTCTTATCTATACTATATTATAAAACATTTGATAAAAACTCTTACAAACCATTTTTATATATAAATTATTGTTTATTGATGCATATATATTACTTAAAATTGAAGATTATAAGTAAATTGTGCGTAAGTACAACTTATTAAAACTACATAATTGAATTCGTGTAACTAACTGCGGATAAACATAATCAAATAGAGGATAAATATCTCATTTAAAATATAAAAAATCAAAAATATAATTATAATAACTATTGAATTGTAACAAAATAATTAATTATAATCATTATAAAAAAATTAAATTATTAAATCAAATATAAATTACTTCGTTATTGAACCTAAACTGAATTATAATAAAAAAAGTTGAGCTAAAAAATTACGCAAAAAAGGAGAAATTTTAAATAGTTAATTTGATACTAATATCGACATATTTTTGTCAAAATTTTATAATATCTTCAAATTTATATTTTG